GAGTACGAAATGATTACTGCTAGTTCACCGTGCAGATATTAACGCCTGGTTTTGAGCGTGCGAATGCAATTTCTCTCTATTCACGTTGTATACAGTACCTAAGAGTAGCGCACAATAAACGAACATTCAAGTTAACTTTCAAGAGAAACGTTGGAGCTGCTTCCCAGCTCACCCTCGACCAAACAACTTGTTATGTGACGATGCCATCACGCGACGTCCGAGTGGTGTCATGGTGAAGTCACGAGTTATCGCATTCTTGGCGTCATGATGGCTTCATGCGACGAGGAGGAAAAAGGAATAAACTTTATTACAAGAAACGAGCAGGTCTAGGTGGCAGGGCCTGGGCCTCCCATAAGGGGACGTCAAGGGCCTGCTTCCACACCACCTCACGGGCTTGCTGGGTCACCCAGAGAATTTTTTTATCACAAGCGTTGACGTCAACGACCACTTTCGCAATTGATCCCCCGGGGCATATAATTCTTCTGTCCTGAAACATCAAGTATCTACAGGAAACACGTTAGACAACTTCCTATGCAGCTTATGGTCCTCTTGACTGCCATCCGATGTATAACACCATGATTGTGGGTGATCAAGTTCGATGGTAGGATAGCAGCCACCAGTCCGTAATTTACCACGTTTCCAGTGATACGAATCCGATTCAAACCGAGGTGGTATTGAATTTCACGGCTTCTCGAAGAAGCGGTCAAATGTCTTCATAGCCGCATCTGGTGGCGACCGACAGGAGCAATGTTGAAGCTTTGTTACACGTAGTACAAGTGAAAGCTCAATCGAAGTCCTAGCAATTTTTCATGCAACTAACAGATTTCTCTCGGCTTTCGAGGGGCTTCTTGGAGACAAATCCTCACAGGGTTATTTTATGCATTCGCGAAAGACAGGCCACTAGAGAGCGAAAACCATCTTATTTTCCTCCCCACTCGATGTTCTGATCGTCCCCGACACCCACTGAAAGGTTTCTGCACCTATAACGTGGTTTCGTGCTACTTCTGTGATCGTCCTAGCATTTACCAAGCGACGACACCCCTCGACGGCGTCACACCATGTGACGTAATGATGACGTAAGAAATTCGGGGGATACGTAATATCACGGTGGCGTCGTTTTGACGTCATCGCGTAATTATAATTTTTATCAGTCCTGTTGATGCCGCAAACGGTCAATTTTAGCACTTCACGAGACATCTAAGCTTCGACACAACGGGTCCATAAGCCAAGTAATAAAAACTAACACGTCAAACCAGCAACATAAATTTCTATTTAGGTGCATTTCGTCACTTGCCCTCGGATAATGACTGGCGGCCAATTTCAACAACACGCCGCACAGTTTTTCATGCGAAGGGTAACTGACTAACGCCCACAAGCTGTCCTCGCTCTTCCCACCGCTTTCGTATGGCAAACGTGCCGGCGTCACAGAGCGTTTCCCGAAAGCCGACCGGTCAAAAGAACTGGGCGGGGGAGGAGTTCTGAAGCGGGCAAGTGCTAATGCAACTTTGCTGTCCACTCCGGGGTGCGCCGGACTTCAAAGCGGGCTCCGGGGACGCACTCAATCCTCATCAGGTTTCTCGAGCGAAAAGCTTGAACCGACGGCCTAAAGAAACAAGGCTGTCGGTGGAACCAGAGTGCGCAACGGGTATGGCGCTCCCGCGGAGCGGACGTTCGGTTCGACAAGTTGTTTCCTCAGCGTTGCCTAATTTTGCAAAGGTCGGAAGAAGAACAACAGCAAATTGTACACAACACGAATGTTGGATTCACATTGAATTAGGATAGAGTGTTCGCGTGTTTAGAGGCCTCTAAGTCATTCCTAGTTAAGGCCAGTGTTCTGTGCGATGTCTGTGCACGCTAAAGAACACCAGATGATCGAAATTTCCCGAGCCCTCCCCTATATGGCGTCTCTCATAGTCAAATCATGGTTTAGGGACATAAAACCCACAGATATTATTTTATGTGATAGCATTTCTAGTTCAAAGCGGGACGGTAAAGTGTTTTTTTTTTCCTTTTCTGCCTATCCTACAGGCAATATCACCTGGTAACTTCTTTCTTAGCACGAGTGTAATGTCAGCACCACTTCGTGGTCAGCCCTAACCATTGAGCGTTACAGGACTTCGCGCTTGTCGGCTACAGGCCGTCATCTCCGCTTGCACATTTGTTAACATGCAAGACAAAGTGAAATCCGTTCATCACGCACGACAGCCACGCGAGACAAGAAAGAACGGGTGGCCGAGCGCGTGGCATAGCGTGGTAGGGGATAAATCAGAACTGATATTTCTCTAGCCCGGCTGTTGTTCACTAAATAATTTCAACTCGAGAGTGAGAGAATAAACATATCTATTTGAACATTATTTAAGAATCGTCTACGGGGTCGTCTCCAGCTTTCAGGTCATCATACTCTTTCGCCATGTCAAGAGCCTTTGCTATATACCAACTGGCGATGGTCTTCGAGGGTGGGGTTGGCTAAGGCTAGCTCTCAAAGGTCAGGAGTGTGGTATTGGCTGAAAACGTTAAGACGTGACCGTGGACACCACCCCACCATAGAGTAAAGTGTACCCTGTGCTCCACAAAACAGGCAAAGTGGAGACGGCATGTGTGTGAGGGTTGGCAGTGAGCGTAAGGTCGTAATTTCTTGGCGGGTGGGGAAGGATGTTGGTTTGCAGTGCTCTTAGAATGCGGTCTTGGCCAAGGGAAAGCATTCCGTGTGGGGGTGGGTACATTCTCCTTAGTACCCAGCAGTGAAACGTGGTGTCCTGATAATATATAAGTGGTTGATGGTATCAGGGAACCTCCTCACTTCTAGGGGCTGGATTGTTGAATCCTCGAGCCGTGAAGTGCGCCATCTCGTTACCTGGAACCTCGTGATGCGCTGGTGCCCACACAATCTTATCTCGTCTCTTAGACGAGTCCCCGAGGATTATTTGCCAGGAACCCTTATTGGGGACCCGCGAAAACCGCCGGGCGCGTCCAAGTCGGGCATTGACATCGTGATGTCCTACCCTTTTTGGGGCCCTGTGGATCACCTTGGGCTGCCTATACGGAGCGATGAGCTAAGGAGGGGCTCTTCCCAATCGGCTTCGCTGGATACGCGGCCTTCGGTAACGCGGGGCATTGTCGAAGTATGTGCGCCAAGGAACAATGCGTTTCATTGGAGAACTTGAATCAATTTCCGTTGAGATACGACTGAGAAGTGTGGCAGCTTGCGCTGGTTGGTATGGCATGAGGATAGTTATATCAAGAGAACAAAACGACGACACAGAGACAAAAAGTGTCTCTGTGTCGTGTCTTTCGTGTACTTCTGGTCTCTGTGTCGTCGTTTTGTTCTTGCGCTGTAACTATCGTCACGACTGAGAAATTCCCGCGAGCGGAATAGGCCTGTCTGGGGAATTCTAAGTGTGCCTGACTGAGACAGAGAGAAAACTTTAATTTATCTGTGATCGGATAAGAGCTTTTTTCTCGTATGGTGGAGCCTTCAGTTGAGGGCACCATCGGCTCGCGACGCTTTACGTACCTGCAGGATCAGTCAATGATGGGTTCTTGTGGACGGTGAAAAAAAGAAATCACGTACCTCCGTGAAATTTGCAACGCCACTACCGCGTTTTTTTTTTTATAAGTCGAAAGTAGCGAATCGATGTGCACGACACTCACAACGATGCTTCAGTGAACCACTGTGGCATTTCTTACAAATGGAACAAGTCAGACAGTACGAGATATAAGCGGCACCCCACTTATAAGCGGCTTCCGCTTTCATTGTAAAGGGCAGTAATATCCACAACTGTTCAGAACATATCCAAGTTGTGGTATAGTGCGGTGTGAGTGGCATTCGTACACAAGACCGCGCGCTCCTCCGCTCGAGAGCCAGCCGCGACGGATGAACTTTTCCAGAGCCACCTGCTCGGCGGTCGACCTGCATGCAGTACTTCTGAAGCCTCCTGACAGTGTTATCTGGTTTTGCACAGACTGCGTGATCGGCCACACTTGGTGAAGCGACCTCAGTGTCAGGTGACGCCAACGTGTGCGACGTTATGACGTCACCTTATGGTGATCATCTCGTGGTTATGATTTTTATTTTGTCATCACTCATGCCAACGCCAACGGCGTACTTTTGCGCTTGATGAGGTTTTTTTAAAACAATGCCTTAAATAGAAGAAGAAGACCTGTAATGAGAAGGAAGAGGAGAGGTCGGCTTGTTAAGCCGGTAGCTAGCCTGCTACTTCTAACGCGAGTAAACAAAAAAGAAAAAAAATGGGAAAAAGGGGGGGGGGGACATGACGAGAGGAGTCTGTGGTACCGCACAGCACAATGAGGGAGACCACCAGGTGGCGTCGAACTGTCCAGTGCGGGTACCGCACAGCATAAATTTTCTCAAAATTAACTAGAGGGCACTCTGGCGCTGCGATCGTTCAGCGACCATAGGAACGATGAGTAATACACACATTTGCCTAGTCTTCGTACTTGCGGCGGCGAATCGTACTTGCGGCTTCCTTTATTGCGGTGTTTCGATTTTGTTTTGAAAGAAAGATTCAACCCTTTTGAACTTCGCCACCCGATTTGGAAAGGCGATTCGAAAAAAAAAATAGGGTGGTGAAGCGCAATCGCTGAACATTTGCTGATTTTCGTTTCGTGAGAAAACAGCTTCAAGCCACACGAACACACACGGAGCCAAAGGCAGGCCAGAAGTACGAAGTTTAGACAAATTTCTGCACTACCCATAATTCCCACGCTCGCTGAAGCGCCGTGCTTTGCAGCTACCATAGACACTAGCGCCAGAGTTCCCTCTGGTGTATATTGGGAAACTCTATGCCGCACAGCATAACGAGTCACTGCTTACACTGTCCAGTGCGGGGTAGGACGCACACGACAGTCTCTATGCATTAGGTGCACAAGCACGTGCTCTAAAAACGAGCACCTAAACGTGTCTGACTCAGCTATTCGAACAAGACTTCAAGCTTCATCGGATGTGACATACATGCCACAGTCGAATCCATAGGCCTCCATTAAGAACGCACAAGTATGAGCTTTTATTTGCTGACGGGACTGTGCCGCTGCTTGCAGCTACCCCCTCTATTCCCTCGCTTTGTTTACAGTCGCTAAAACGTTCCTCTTCCTGGCGGTCGCCAAGGTCTTTGCATCCTGGACTGCGTGGCAGGCTGGTTTTCCCGGTTTATCGTGTGCCTGGGTCGCGGCGGGGGAAGGCAGAGTCGCGGCGCGGGATAGGAGAGCGATGGGGCAAGGCAGGGTGGCAGCGGCGGAACGTAAGGCCGAGGCGCGGGAACGTAGGGTCGAGGCGCGGGAACGTGGGGTCGCTGCTGGCCATACGGACGACAGAATAACAAGGGGTGATCAGGGGTCGGGCTGAAACAGCGCCTCGGCCGTCGCCATACCGCCGGGTAGAACTCGGTGATGAACTCCTCCTGCTCGAAAGAAAACAAACAAACAAACAAACGTTACGCTCTCTGTGACTCTTGAATACGGAAAGCCAGCTGCGCAGAGAGTTATTCAATCATAAACGAGTTGCGAAACTCCTCATGGGCTCCATGTATAGAAATTCGGACCCGCCATTGGCCCAGATGTCGGAAGTGGGCAGACTGTCGCGCCAACTGTTGATCAGCACACGGACTATTGAAATCATTGTTTTGCGTATTGCGTCACCACTCTGAAATGGCGCAACGGTCGCCGATTCCCGCGACATTGACCAATGGCATGTCCGGGTTTCGGAACGCAGGTGCATTGGCATTATCGAACAACTCTGGCTGTGTATACTTCGCGATGCATTAAGGTAAACAGTTAGGGACCAGACTTCCCGCAAGACATCACAAGCCGCAGAGCAAGCGCGGATTGAGTTACCTTGACGTTCTCTTTCGATGGCATTGTTCCTTCCTGCTGGAATGAGGCCTTCAGCACCTCTTGATGTGTTGCATTGTATCCGGGATTGGCCCCACCCTTTTGGCCGATCGATAACGTCAACCGATGGCTAGGTCATAGTGCTTTACTGCAGAATTGAAGGTATTGGTATTCGATCCCGGTGGCCACATTTCAATGGCACATACCGTCAGTCACCTGTGGCACATACCCGCTGGTATGCGGGTATGTGCCACACGTGACTGACACTTTGTCCCAGGAACGACGATAACTTCACATGGACAGTTTTAACGCACGAGCCTCGCCCGCCGGGGTGGTTTAGTGGCTAAGGTACTCGGCTACTGTCCCGCAGGGCGCGGGTTCGAATCCCAGCTGCGGCGGCTGCATTTCCGATGGAGGCGGAAATGTTGTAGGCCCGTGTGCTCAGATTTGGGTGCACGTTAAAGAACCCCAGGTGGTCTAAATTTCCGGAGCCCTCCACTACAGCGTCTCTCATAATCATATAGTGGTTTTGGGACGTTAAACCCCTGTTGGGACTCCGGGTCCTGCCGGTCTCGTTTTCGGTAGCTGGCCCCGTCGCAGGATCCATCGTCCAACAATTCAGCGAGAAGAAGCGCCCGAACGAACAACAGAGATTTATTTACATGTGGAGAAGTGGTCAACTGACCCAAAGAGAGAAGAGAGAGTGTGATACAAAACGTCTTCGGCATTTTATAGCGCCACGTTGTTGACACTGGGCGCCTTGTCCGCATCGTCAGCCAACACGGTGTCCCCGGCACCTCGGCCACGAGGGAGGGGGAAACACCTCTCACAACACATGGAGTGGCACAACCTAACACGGAGTCCATATATGGTCACGGCACCCTAAAATGTTACCAAACATGGTCACGAACGCACAGCAGAGTCCGGAGTTCTCCCGGTGAGAGGAGGAGCCTGAATGGGGAGGTGGGGGTGGACGACCCCGTCGGTCAAGAACCGGTTCTCCCCCAAACTCTACTTGCTTGGTTCCCTAGGCCCGGTCGTAACAGTCTCTCGCGCGGGGGGGTGAAGATCTCGATGGGCTGAGGTTTGCAGCCACTGTCCGGAGAGATCAGCGCCGGCAGTCGGTTTGGTGACGAGCATCTTTGATGAAGTAGAGGGCAACACCTGCTTCATTGTGGGCTCAACAGACATCACATACGCACATGAAAACGCAACTACTCAGCCGGTGAGCGCCGGACAATTCCGCCAAACTCCACCAGGCAATTTTCCCCTTTAACTTATATTAAAGGAAATACACAATTTATTCAAAATGTTACTCACACTTTAAGGTGACACAAAACAACAACACGGGAAGCACACCGAACCCGAAACCCTGGATAGCCGTGTCTTCAACGTTTTCAAACAAGTACACCTAAAAGAGTAAAAAAAAAAAAACAATCACTAGCTCTTGTCTAGGTCAGGAAAAAAAATGCCAGAATTCTCGAGACATCCTCTCGCGTCAGGGGCATCGACTTAAGCCATCAGCGTTGCCATGGAGTACACCCTTTTTGTAGCGTATTTCAAACGTATATTGTTGCAAAACGAGGCTCCAACGCAGCAGGCGGCCGTTCTTAGAGGACATGGTCTGTAGCCAGGTGAGAGGACAGTGGTCCACTTCCACAATGAACTTGCTTCCGGCAATATAACAAGCCAGTTTCTGGACTGCCCAAACCAAGCACGCACATTCCTTTTCGCTAGCGCTGTAAACCTGCTCGCGAAGGGTGAGTTTCCAGCTAACATATAGGACGGGATGCTCTTGATCCCCCTCATCCCTTTGACTAAGAACTGCCCCCATGCCTCTATCACTAGCGTCGCGTTGGACTATGAAAGGCCTCGAGTAGTCCGGTGAACTAAGCAAAGGTTGGCTCGACAAGGCCACTTTCAAAACGCGGAAAGCCTTTTCTTTCTCCTCATCCCAGTCGACCATTTGGGGCTCGGTCTTGCGCAACGCGTCAGTAAGAGTGCTGGCAATGTCGGAATATCTAGGGATGTACTTACGATAGTAACCAGCTATTCCAAGAAAAGCCCGAATATCGGTTTTCGTTCGGGGCTGGGGAAAGTCTCGGATAGCTGCCACTTTCATTTCAGAGGGACGGCGATGCCCTCGACCGATAACATGCCCGAGATAGAGTACCTCTGCTTGTGCTAGCTGACACTTGGGCGCCTTTACCGTTAAACCTGCTTCGCGTAGGCGTGTCAGTACTGCTCTCAAATGCGTCAAGTGTTCTGGCCAGGACGAGGAAAACACGGCGACGTCGTCCAAGTAAGGCAATGCGAAGTCCTCTTGACCACGCAAAACCTTATCCATTAAGTTTGAAAAACAGTAAGGCGCGTTCTTTAGGCCGAAACTCAACACTTTAGGGTGGAATGTCCCCAATGGTGAAATAAATGCAGCATACCGGCTCGCCCTCTCGGTGAGCGGCACCTGCCAGTAACCTCTCACTAGGTCTAGCGTTGAGATAAATTCTGCGCTGCTTACCCTCTCGACGCGTTCCTCAATGTGGGGAATTGGGTATGTCTGATCCTTGGTGATGAGGTTTAAATTACGATAGTCTACGCAAGGACGCGGATCTTTGCCGGGTACCTCCACAAGAATTAACGGGGAAGTGTAATCACTTTCACACGGCTCAATCACGCCCAATTCCAGCATCCTGTTAACCTCTGCTTTTATTAGCTCAAGCCGGCGAGGTGACACCCGATACGTCTTAGATCTTACCGGTTCCGACGAGGTAAGCTCTATGTCATGAGTGAGGACGGATGTCCGGCCTGGCTTGCTTACAAATCTGTCCTGAAACTCGGTCAAAAGACCACGCAATTCCTGCTTCTGCTTCATTGTCAGCTGTGACTTTGATACTAAATCCTCAACTGTTTTCTCGATCGGGACTTCGTCCGATTCGGGAGCTAATTCAGGAATTTCTGCCGGAACCTCTTCCGGAACATTTAAAGTCATGTTCACGATGGCTTCCCTCTCTTTATAGAGTTTGAGTAAGTTTCTATGATACACCTGGTGTACCTCACGACTTCCTGGTAATTTTACCACATAGTTGGTGTCAGACAATTTTCGAGTAATCTCGGCCGGGCCGACCCATTGCACTTCAAGCTTATTCTTTTGGGAGGGCCTCAACAACATGACCCTGTCTCCTACAGCAAAGTGTCGCGCTTTAGCTGTCCGATCATAGTAAAGCCTAGCCTTCTGCTGTGCTTTGGTCATCGCCCTCTCGGTCAGTTCTTGGGCTTTTGTTAGACGATCCAATAAGGTGAGGACATATTCCACTACTACCGGATCATCACCCTGACCTTCCCACGACTCTCTCAGCATACGAAGAGGAGACCGCAGTCTGCGGCCGTAAACAAGTTCCGCTGGCGTAAACCCTGTTGTCTCATGTGGTGCAGTTCTTAGTGCAAACATCGTTGCAGGTAAGCACATTTCCCAGTCAGTTTTCCGTTCAAAACATAAGGCTCTTAAACCTCGCTTCATCACGGAGTGAAGCTTTTCTATCGAGTTCGACTGCGGATGGTAGACTGAACTATGCAATAATTTCACGCCACACCGCTCTAGAAAGGTTGTCGTTAGGGCACTCGTGAAAATGGTGCCCTGGTCTGATTGTATCTCGGCAGGAAAGCCTACCCGGGCAAACACGGACAGAAGTGCGTTCACTACTTCCACGGAACTTAGCTCTTTTAGCGGGACCGCCTCTGGAAATTTAATAGCTGGGCAGATTAAGGTCAGGATGTGACGGTAGCCTGAAGTTGTCTTGGGCAAAGGACCTACTGTGTCAATTACCAACCAACGAAAGGGCTCCGTGATTACGGGTACCAGCTTCATTGGAAATTTCGCCTTATCTCCCGGCTTACCCACTCGCTGACACACATCGCAAGATTTTACAAACCTCTCTACATCTTTAAAGCATCCAGGCCAGTAGTATTCCTGTAAAAGACGATTTTTCATCTTCTTTACGCCTAAGTGGCCTGACCATGATCCTCCATGCACCAAACTAAGCAAATCCTGACGATACGCCTGAGGTACGACTACCTGGTCAAACTCTACTCCTCGCCTATCTAGATATTTTCGATAGAGTATGCCGCTCCTCTCTTGGAATCTCACATTTCGTTTGGCGATTCCCTCTTTCGAACTGTCCTGGAATTGCTTAAGCGTCGGGTCCCCCTTTTGTTCGGTTATTAATGAAGCGGGGCTCACCTGCAGCAGCCGACTGAAATTATCCGAAGTTGGCATGACACACAACTCTTTCGTATTTCCTAGTACCTGGAATGTGTCACCATCTGTGCTATCCTCTGTACTACCAGGAATCGGCTTGGGAGCAACGGCATTTTCTATTTGCTCGGTCAACGAGGCGTAATTAACCCCTTCCGATTCGGGAGGAGGTTCAACGTCGCCTTTAGGAATGGTTGCCTCCGCGACTACGGCTTCTGCAGCCTGTTCTCGCACAAGTCGATTTGTTACCGTGGTGTCCAACTCGCAACCAGGCCTGTTGTTGATTTGAGGCTTGTTTGCCTCAGTGAACGTTGCTCT